ATAAGCTTTTGCACCATGGTAAAACTTTGACACAGTTAACTGTACACCAAGCACAGCTGAATCATATGCTAATGAAAACCAACAAAGTCAGCCGCAGTAAAGGTTCTGGTTACACCATAAGAAACAAATAATAATAATAATACTAATAAAGAATTTGTCTAAAGTGCCCTCCAAAAGAAATTATCTCAGAGCGCTGTACAATATGTTAAAAATTAAAATTAATTAGTAAAATACAAAATCTGACAGATAAAATTTATACTAAAAACTTCATTAAATACAGTGATACATGCACGCACACAATGGTAATTGATTAAATTCCTTAGCACCTATAACTAATTTTAAATAAATGTGTTTTAAGAGAGGATTAAAAAATGTCATATGATGCTGAAGCAGGTGTCGACGGTGGCAGTGCATTCCGAAGTCTGGGTGCACAAGCCTGGAATGCTCTGTTGCTGTAATACTAATTTTTGTCCCCAATTGGCTGATATAAAGTCAGATGTCCGAGACAATTTGATCTTGAACAATGACCAGTCTTCTGAATACAACTGTCCCACTGCTTGTAGGGTGCACCACTGTATATACAATCAAGAGTATTACCACCTATGGGCATAGTGACGTTTTCCCATGCCCCTACTGACTATGTTTTATTGGTCATCGCCGAAATACCGTCATTTTCATCCACGTAAAATGTTATGTATCTCAAATTGGCAAGGATGTGTTTTAGAACATGTATAGATGATGTCATTAATGGTCTTTTCTTGAACAGCCAATCAAATGTTTACAAACAGAAATTTTTGTTCCATGTGCTTCAGTGTTTAAGAAAAGCACCTTGTGTCAGGGAAACACCCACAATCCTTTGCGGGGCTGCTAAAGTAGGCCTTGTGATTGGTCAGATTGAACAAAGTTTGCTACATATGTACATGTTGCCTGTGCAAATAGGGTAATACTCCAGAATTGATGAAGATGGTTGTTACTATTTTTGTTTCAGATATTCTACAACCAATTCCTCCCAAGATGTGGCAACCACCACTGTTCCAAGTGTTCCCTCTAGGCGTCGTTTGAGGAGGAATTTCTGGCAGGATCCCTTGGAGTTCAAGTTACCAAGTCCATCTTTCGACTGGCACAAACTCCTAGGCAGCAAAGAGCTTGGAGCCGCGTTTGGCCTGACCATCAAGAATGAACTTGATATGAAGATTTGTAAGCATCTTTAACTATTCAATGTGTACATGGCTTTCATTTGGGGCTTTAGATCTATACACATAGAGAGTGGCATGCCACCATTACAAACACAGTTATACCGGACATTAGGGTATGCTGAACAGTCTCCTTGGATCCTGAATTGTCTGTGCACTTTTACCAAACACAACAAATGTGTTTGAAATGAAAAAAAAATTTAAATCAGAATTTCCAGTGAGGACTACCCCAGAGATTAAACTTGAAAGGAGATGGCATACAGACAAGGTATAGGATGACAGTTTTGTTATTTTAGCGTTATTTTGTGCGTATGTTTGCCCAAATCCTCATACAGAGGCATGTGGAGTAGGCTACCACACGTTTGAATGTATACTTCAGAACCGATGCATATCTGTGACCAGAAATTGCTGTGCTGAACCACTGCTACAGAGTGCCAAAGTGAATATGTCACTGGCACGTGCAAGCATCCTTACACAGTTATACTTGTGGGGTATTTTCTTTGTTCTCGTGTACAAAACTCCCACACAATCACTCCAATTTAAACCAAATTCACTTTCCTGGGTTGAAATTTCAACCATATGTCCCTTATGTAAAACACTTCAATTTGCGACAGATTTTTACCCATAAAAGTTTCCCCTTTTTGAGTTATTTCCAAAAAGCAGTTTCGTGAAATTCTTGTCAATTTCGGTACCCCACAAGGTAAAAACTGGCTTTGTGGGGCCCCATGTATAACTGCACAGCTGTGTGTGCGAAGGGTATTTGCGTAAAAACAAGCGGAAAATAACCAAAACATGCACGTACTCCATTCACTTGCACTGCGCTTTATGGTTCACAATGACATCACTCTTAGTACTTTATAGACAGATTCGCTGATGCCATTACTGCGATGGCCCCATCACTCAGGTGCACATTCCTAAGCTTGATGAGCATGTGATTTTGGTTAGCAGCACGCTCCCATTGGCTGATGTGGAAGCATGATCAATGTGCATGCTTTTTTTCATATGCGTGGGGACACCTCAGTAATGGCTCTTGATTCTTGTCACTGGATTGGTCCAAACTGAACATTTGTGTGGATCTTGTTATGTTCATAATAGCAGTGTTCCACTGTACATTTACAAATTTACGTCATGGAGATTCGTAAGAACAAGAATGTTTGAGGATCAAATGTTGTCTAAAAACCTGAACCTAGTTGTTATTAAGAAATAATCCTCTTGGAATCATGAGCAGCTAAGTAACTTGAAGACAAACTCTTCAGTTGAGAAAAGAATTGATGCATGGTCTTAACATATGAACTTAAAACTTTGTATATGACTAACAGCTCTTTTTAACAGTCACCTGCGTGTGGACCTTTTCGATGAGGCTTATGCCACAGTTTTGGTTGGACTGGCTGATTTTTCATGGGATATTTTCAAAGCTCGTTTCTGCTTCAGTGGCTATGTTGGATACAACCTCAACATACTGCAGGTGGGCTCGATCGCATTCTGTCTTCTGTGTTTTCTGTATGTTAATTCAGTTGAAAGAGTTACTACACAAATTATGAATATTTATAAGTGTAATCATTTGAGATTGAATGGAATTAAATTGAATGAATAACAGACTGAATGAGCTATTCAAACGGATCTGTCTTATGAAATAAAATATTCCATCTGTCATCCAATGAGAGGACTCTTTCAATTGCGCAGATGTGAAAAATTTATTGTATGTTTTCCACAAAGTCTGAATAAATTCTTTGCGTACAAGTTGCCATTTTACCCTCAGTTTGGTGTGAAATGACATTACACAGATGTTTCACATGTATGACTTGGTGTTTAAACAAACGTTCCTGTAAGTCGTGCAATCTGCTTTAGTTGTTTGACAACATACTTAATTTGTTTCTTTCTGTTAGAACCATGAGTTTTCTGCTTTCATACTACCCCAAACAATTGCTAAATATGCAAATTCCTTTAGGCCTTATTTTATTTGCTGAAAACTTGATCAATTATAGTGCTCTCTCTACTCCCACAGTGTGCTGCGTTGTGGCCGCCATGTTCGTCCTTCTTTTTCTTAGCACTATTACTAACGGAAGTGTCAATTTCGGCATCTTTAAGTTTTTGAGTTTCTATTCTCAGTCCACATTCCTGTGGTATCTTGATCAACTGTAACTTATAAATAATAAACTGAGTATTTACATATTATTACTAAATGTGTGTGTTATTGGTTGGTTTGTGTAGTATTTTCTCTCCCTCCGTGCATGTTCATGGTTGCTGATGTTGATTCTATGAAGCTTGTAATACCTAGCGATATTATTATGATCAACCGGGCGACCCGGGACAGTTGGGGGCTTAACGCATGCAGTGATTTCCAACTCTCCCACAGACCGACAGGAGTCGGTCAGCGATAGGATCAAGATGTCAAGGTTTGAAGCCGATACCTGTGATTACCACACTAACGGTCTGCTCCACCAGCACAAGCACTGGTTGGAACCAATGACCACATGTAAACAGGAGACTGAGCTGTGGTGCAGGTAATCTGAACGCTCAGCTCCCCTAGTACTTGTGTAGCTACCAGGATGACAAGGTCTATTGTGGTAGTCCACATTCCACCAATGCCTACCAAAGAATACAGCACTCTACCGGCATAGCTCACAAAGCTCACTCTGGGATGGCCCCAAGCCATCTACACTAGCCACACCGACCGCCTCATGCCACAAGCCACCACCTTCAGACACCTTTCCAGCAGGGACATCCAGGTATGAACCAGACACTACACCCTCCCCGGCTTCGCCCCCATTGTCATCTGGGGTGGCCCCAGTTAATACAATGCTGGGCCACACAGGCACAATGCAGACTGCAACATGGGCAGTAGGACCCACAAGCCTGCGTCGCTGCTGAAGCTTTTGTATGTCAATCTGTTGTCTGGCTATCATGTGGGGCTCACTAGGAAGAACGACTCCAAGGCAACTGCCCAGGCAGTTCATCAGACTCCTCCTTCAACTGAGCATGAACCACAGCGTGACCACTCCTCCAATTCCTTGGCCCACCCAGGTCATCCACCAACTCCATGGCCGGTTCAACCTTGTGTAAGAAACGCAAGCACTCCTCTTCTTCTGCCATGACCTAGCACAAGAAGTCCATAACCCAACAGGACGTTTCTTCTGTGGATATCATGGTCTGGTCTCTCTCAGAAGAATACTCTCAAGAAATGCCTACACCCTCAGAGGTATGTCTCCATCTTCTTCAGACAGACATAATCCAGATACTGGTCCTCCCCTCTACTTCTACCGTGGCCGAGGCCTCATTGCATGCCTCCTTCAAGCGCCACTCCACTAGACTGGAGGCCTCGATGTCTCTTTTCCTGGAACTACCACCAGACCAATCGTGCGGCAAGATGTTCCTCTCCATCCCGAACATTCCTGTCACCACCAAAGATAAGATGACCTGAGATGCTCACAGATCAAGCGGGAAAATCCCATTTCAAGAACAAGGTCATCACTAAATTTGACCTTATCCTGGCCAAGCTTGATAGAGCCTCGTGACATGGCGTCCACTGCACTGCCTTCCTATCACTTCTATTAGAATACCTGGCACATGCATGTGAGGAAGACTAGCCTGTCACTGCAGACCTGGCGGCTGAAGCACTCTGGACCCTTGATGAGAACACATGAACACTGTCTTTTAACAGTTTACATGGATCTCTGCGATGGCTACTTCTGCATGAAGATCCAATGTGTTCAACACCATGAATATTTCCTACGAGGGGGTCAAGTCAAAACTTTAAAATCTCCCGCTTTATAGCAAGACCTTTTTGCTGGGAAATTCATGGAAACTATGGAGGCTGAGGCAAAGCGAATCGACACCATTTACAAGCTTAGCCTTCGCCATCCCTACCCTCCATCACCGCTGCATAAGCAGACGACTGCCGAGCCCAACCCACCAGACCGGCCCCATGTCATGGGGACTCCAGCTCTTTTCTGTGCTTTCGTCCGCTCTTTTAACAGGCGGTCAGTGTTTGGTGTTTTAGGTGTTCAGTATACATGACACTACTATAACTACATCTGCTAATGCTCTTCAGGCCAAAGTACGTGGGATGCAATCAATCTACCTGTTCCCATTATGAACCTCATCTGCCCCCACCTTCAGTGGTGGCTGAAGAAAAGACACCTCTCTTGGGGGATCACCTTCCTAAGGGCAAGCACGGAGGAAACAATAACCACGGATGCGTCCCACCTCGGATGGGGAGCCTCCCTACCCCTGCTCCAGGCATCGGGAACTTGGGAACCCCAAATTCAGGGGAACCATGTCAATATGCAAGAACTCCAAGCAGCATTCAATACTTTTGCTCGAGCATCAAGGGCAAATGCATCTTGATACGCTCAGACAACTCCACTGTAGTGGCCTAAAACAGTTAAGGAGTCACCCATTTTCTCTTCGACTATGCTTCCTGACCTGGCAGATATTCCTGTGGGCACAAGACCAAGATTCGAACTCCAAGTAACCTACATCCCAGGAGTCAACAACTCAATCACAGAGACCCACTCTCTGGTGTAGTGGCGCAGGTCTTTGCCAAAGTAAAAAAAACTAAACCTCGACCTATTTGCCTCAGTGGAGAACGCTCAACTACCGATGTTCTGCACCAGGTTTCATCACTCGCAAGCCTGGGTAACAAACGCTCCTCAGATCAACTGGGATGGGATGCTGGCCTACGTCTTTCTCCCGATATCCCTTAACCCGGCAGTGCTCTTCATGATTAAGCAGGAGCATTGCCGGGTACTTCTCATCACCCTGCTCTGGTCACGCCAGCCTTGGTTCCTTCGTCTAACCAGACTACTTGTTCAGACACCACTCTTCCTGCCCTCACGCCATGGCCTCTCCATCAGCTGAAGTTGTGCATACTCTACCCTCAGCCAGCATCCCTTCACCTGACTTGATCTCCATTGCCAAACTATCATTCAAATCAACGTAAGGGGTCCACGTGAATCCACGCACATTGTCTGCAGCAGCAAAATATGACAATTCACTTCATGGTGTGCATAGCAGAGTCTTACTCCGACTGAAGCTTCAGTTCACTTTCAGGATGTTCTGATAAAGATAAGTAAAACAGCATGCTAGAAGACTTCATCTCGAGTTAATTAACATAGGTATTATAGCTCTGTGACATCTCTCAAGAAAGCTGTAACCCTCCCTGTTGAGTAACATGGAATAGTGGCCATGTCAGTCAATCATCTTTGCATGAATTTCCTTCTGAGATGGGCTGCAACCAATTATGGCGTCAGTACGGTCGGATGCGTGTCGTTCTGTAATTGTACTATCGCGACATTGCATCACTGTATTGTATATTCAGCCATGGGTTTTGTTTGAGAACCTCAGAACTGTGAAAACTAAAGGATGGGCATTCAAGCCAACAAATGAGTGAGGGGTGAGAATGAGTGTGTGTGAGTTAGAGCAGAACAAAATTTTGTTGTCTAGAGTGGAGATGTGAAATATGATGACCGATTCAGGGTATGCTTGACCACTATCGACTCCAGAAACCTTAGCTTCTGAAGGTTTAACCACTATCAACTCCAGAAACCTTAGCTTCTGAAGGTTTAACTCCTTTGTTAGTTTGTTCTGGTGATCGATCCCATTTTCCACCCTTTTGACCAAAATTCAGGTTCAAATTTGTCGGGACATGTCGCCCTCCTGTTCCAATCGCAGCCCTCATCCTCTCGAAATACTCCACTGAACAAACCTGTGTTTTCTTTTAAGTTTATTCAGTCCAACCACTCGGTTGGTATGGTTATATTCATTGCAAAACTAGAGAATACATTTGGCAAAATAGGGAAAATTAGTGATTTTGTAGACTAAACCATGTCACATGTCTACATGGAAGGCATAAGTAAAGATGAGTCATATAGTGCATAAATTACATTTAAAATCTAGACGTCTTCAGCCTCTTGGAAAAAAGCATTAAGTTTTGGAATTTGTGGAATTGTAGATGAATTTTTAAACATTGCATTTATCGACTTCTAGGATATAAAATTTGGCCAAAGACTTTGAAGGTTTGGATCATGTTTTGATTTTAGATGGTCACTGGGTTTAGCTTACTCTGAGATGATCGAGCTACTACTACCCGAGGAACAGTGCTCTGGCCACATGACGTACTGAGACTGGGCAACGGGCGAACAGACGCAGCCTACCCTGAAGCTCTGATACAGTAGCCAATCTCCAGTCTACACGTAAAACTCATCTTAAATACACTATTTGAGTGTGTATACGGTAGCCAGTTTGGGCCGGTAAAATTCTGTATTTGCATTTGAAGATGACTTGTTAAGTACAATATTTTTTTAAACAGTCATAGAGCAAACAAGAAACTGTTTTGAGAACTTCGAAATAGGAAACTTCTGGAATATAATACTGTGAAGTGATAACAAGCAAAAGATATTGAAGTGAACAAGGTAGCCCACGACAGAAGCGGAATTATTTTTGTGATATTAGAAACTTCATTTATTCCAAAACCTTGCAGTGCCAAATAAGCCTTATGTTTGATTTTTTAAGCTTTGAATGTTGTACATGTACTTCTTGTGAATATTGAAATATAAGTGATTTGCTGGTTTTCAATTGTACAGTCTCTGTCCTTGGTTCTTTCATTTTGGTTTCTATTCAAATTCACGTATTTGAACCGGGCTCAACCGAGGAATATCACTAGTCACATTTAGAAATTGTTAAAAATTTAAATCTGGTGGTGACAGACATTTTACCTCACCAATGTCCTGCAAAGAGACTGCTCACATGACAGGGCAGTCTTGACTTTGGCCACATTGATGCCAAGGGACTCCTCAATGGGACGGACCAACACTGGAACTACCTAACAGCTCCTTTGGTGAATCCACGTTATTGCTCACTTTTTGTTCAGACAGTATTATATCGAAAAAGAAAGACGAACGTGGCGGCTGCACCGCTATGCGTTGTGGGAGTAGATGGAGCACTACAGTTGATATAATTTTAAGGTACAACATTTAGGTGCATGAGGTGCACATTTAGCAACTGTTTGGGGTAGCTATGCATTTACAGACCCTCCCACATGTCTGTGGGGGAAGATCATCTGCTCCAAGATGGGATGCATGGTGGTCAACATTTTTGGTGTTTATCTAAATTTGTTGTTTTTGTGAAGAGCCTTGACTGTGCCTATGGTATGCATTTATATTCACACAGTATTTTTTATGTGGTATAATTATTTGATTCTACTACATAAATCTTGACATGTGATCAGTGACCCATCAATCAGTTGTATAAGATGAAATAATTTATAAGGGTTGACAAGCATTGCATGTGCCATGAACAGCACTGCACTCAATCGGGCATTCTGTACACTGATTACCTCACACAATTAGTCTTTTTTTTCAGAGCCCAAAAGATTACGACAATGACAATAAGGACAAAAACAATTAAGTAGTAACAAATTTTGTATCTTACATTCTAGTTTTCATTGTGATCCCTCCAGAACCACTTTGGTAGGGAGTGCTACGTGATCCTCAATGCAATGTAGACTTGATGAAAAAGTAGTTACACGTAGGTAATGGTGTCTTGTCTCTTAACTTCAGTTAAAATCCATATGCACATCTCTAGTGTAAAAAGATGCATTGGCTGAGATGAGGCAATCAACATCCTTGTGTAAAGGTACATGTAGATGTGTAAGTGGATCACAGCAGTATAATGCATAGAGAGCAAAACTAAGCCAATAACCTACTTGGCACCAAGTCTTCATAAGTGGAAGGATGATCGTATATCCTGACAATGAAATGTTTGTCCTTTAACAGGAATTTGGTGTGGAGCGTATCAGCGACTTTGTAAAAGCATATGATCTCATTATTGGAAAAGTTGTTGGCAACATCAAGAAAGGAGTGGACACAGTTGTTGATCTTTTCAATGGTGAAATCAGCATAAGTCAACTACTTGACAACTTTGCTCGGTCATTTGACAAAATCCCCAGTTTCATTTCTGTAAGTATGTATAATGTATATTTGTGAGACCAATTTCTACTTGACTTACTGTCGCTAAATATTGGAAAAAGAGTAATGCGACAGTTTTAAAGATGTAGTTCAGATGGAGATGGGCAACTTTTTTATGAAATGTCTTTGAAATGCTTGAGTTGAACAATGTAAAGCACAAAGGCCTGGTTTGTTTATTTTATGCTCTAAAGTTAATACGTTAGAAATTTAGCTTAGTGACATAAAAGATTGGTGTTCAAATTATTATTTTACATATATAATGACCATTCGCTGCTATAGCATGTAATACATACAAACAGAATGCAACTTGACCTCACACCATCAAAAAGCTCTGACAAATGAAAAAGTCTCTAGTTATTTTATTCTACTGTTATCTATGTTATGGGCAATTTGCGCGATTGGCAACCAGATCATCTTGTTTCTGCCTCTTCGTCAAGTGTTTAGTAGGGGGATGAAACCAGACTAATGGTAGTTGCATTTTTTGGGTTCATTGTTACAGACAGTGACAAGTGCATGTACGTGCGAATAGAACTTTTAAGAAAATACAACAAAATTTAAGAATCACTGTTGATGCACGATAAAATGCTACTATTTCACAGAAAAAAAGACAGATTCAGACCAATTCTATATACATGTGTCTTTGCTAGTACGCTATGTCCTGTTAACATTTGAAATGAGATAAAGACAGACGATTTAACATGAAGATTAAAATATGTTTTGTAAGTTTCTAAAAGATTGTTGAAAATAGGCTTTACTCAAAAAGTAATATGTAGATAAAAATTCATTATTTTTCCAATTATAAGTTTTTCTTAGCTTCATGTATTGCCCACTTATTCATGGTTTTCATTTAAAAATAGCATAGAGCACCGAAGCAGATATTTTTGTTCAGGCTCAGGGGCTCTTTTATTACTGACTAGTTTGAACACCGCTGTGCAGGTCATTAAGCAGTGGCTTGGAATTGTTTAAAATCAATGAGGCCCCTGAATCCAGACAAAAATCACAGGTTTTGCTTGTAATTGGGTTTTACTGGCAGTGTTTTTCACCAGTCCTTTGATCGGTCCTTAGATCGTTTGTGAGAAATGTCAGTAGCTTGCGGAAGTGGGGCCTTCCAGAAGTACACGTATACTGAATTGGACTCATTCTATATGCTCTTTTCACAGGATTTGAGATCAGTGGCTACTAGGGCCGTGTCCCGACTGGCTCAGTTTGACCCAGCCAAGCTCCCACCTTCCTTCAGAGGCGTCATCAATGTTGTCAACAAGGCTGCTCAGCTGTTTAGTGACATCAAGACAGATGTTATGGAATTCTACCAGGTTAGATTATGATTTTTTACTGGCAGTAATTATTTATCAAAGTGCAGAAATGTTATTACTGCATATTTTGCAAAATGTTGTTTTTTTCCTGAATTTCGATTCCGATTTACTTGGAAATTATCAGAGGTAAATTTCATTGAAAAATATTGCACAATGATGACGTGATTAATTACAGTTAAAATGTTGTGTCTTTGTTTTGCATCTTCACGTTTAAGCTAAAATGTATCCCAGCACGCTCAAGGCAAACTGCCAAATAGTTGGATTTTTGCAGAACTTTTGCATCTCAAAATTTGTTGCAAAAAATGTATGTTATCTGGTTTCTGTCAGAGATCATTTATATAAAACTAATCAAGGTACCAAAGCTTAGCCTTAGAACAAAAGAATTGTGTGTGTAAAATCATTGTCCACCTAAATTTCCAGTTTCATGTGATTTAATTCAGCGCAAAAATTTACCGAGATTTGGCACTGGTTGATTTCAGTTCCCCAAGGGAAGTTGGAGGGGAGTTAAAATCAACTGTAAACCATGTTAGATTTGTTTTACCAAACCTCAGACATATCCAGTTGCAAGTACTGTTTCAGTAATGTGTAGCATGCAGAGAACATAGCTAGGGCTATGATAATGCATAAGTTACCTGGGAACAGTTCAGTGCTGGTACATATTTCCTGTTTGTTAAAAAGCAAGAATAGCAATTGTTACGTAATGATGAATGGACCAATGAGAGTTCAGCTTTGATCCTGAATATGTATGAGGCACCAGTGTGGTAATCATTCTTACTGACTAAACTTAAAACCTGCTGTAACAGAACTTATTCTTAACAGAACTTTAGAACTACAATACAAAATAGTTTGGGAAAATATTTACAACTGTTAGCTTAATACCTTTCCAAGCAGCTGAGTTGCACAACAAAGCAGTGACTGCTTTATGTAAATGACAAAGAAATGAATTTTTATTGTTTAGTTTGTACAGTTGGACTGTACTGGTGTTCCATGATAGAGAATTTTTGTTTAGGTCAAATGAATTTGTCTTCATTCTATATTTCAAGTTATAACAGCTCACAAATTCTGAACTTCTGTGTTTCCTCAGGCTGTAAGTGAGGCAATCACTGTTACTTTGCCCTTGGCAGCAGAACGGATCTGGAAGTCTATTGTTTCAGTTGGAGAGTCCATGATGGACTTATTGAAATCTCCACTGAAGGCCATCGGTGACATGTTCAAAGGAATCCTCAAGTAAGTTCTCATGTATTTACGGGTTGAGGGTTCTCAAGATGAAAAATCTGCCTCAGCAGATAGAGTTAGATAAATTGCTCAGAATAGGGCCATGTTTCAACCTTTGTTACTGCGTTTGTGTGTACTTATGGGCATGTCATGCCCAATGATGATAATGTCACATTTCAGATGTGAATAGGACACTTTACAAAGAGCTGCATCTGACACTTGACGCTCGCTTAATCATATTGTTGTCAGTTGTCAGCGGCCAGATTCTTGATGTCTTTTTGACTAGTGAGGTATACATTTTACTCTACTGGGTTCTAAATTAAAAAACAAATTCATGACATTGGTAGTCATCAACAGTTTAGGCTATTAACATGTACATTTACTACTGTAAGGAGAATTGGTAATGCCACAATTCCAACTTAACCACTTGCTACCGGGGACTCCAATTTTGGGCACTGTGTGTTTATACGCGTGGCCGGGTCTCTGCCAAATCAGACAAAGGGAACTGGGCCTTGTAACAAAAGACCATACTCGGAATAAAAGACCAGGCTGCTGGGCATTACCAACATTTTTCACTCTCAATAGTGGAGATAATGCAGCCTTGTTTTGAAACAGTATACCATGGCTTGGGTCATTTAGTGGGAGCGATTACCACCAGGGACAAAAGCGCTCCACCACCGCAGTGATGAGCCACACAGTACCACTGCACAGTAATCTGGCCCCTACACAGTGGTTTAAGACCCAGACATTCGTCCTGATTCATGTTTTTCAATTTTCAACAAAAACCTTTTCATTAGAGTCTGAAAATCAAGTTTTAAGTGTAAAAATTATTTTAAAATTTCATGTTCTGATTCTGAGATATAACAGTTTTAACAGTCTTGGGATGCTATGTGTTCCTTGGGTAATCAAAACATATCCCACTTCACAGCAGTCAAGAATTGTTAATTCATAATCCATTTGTAAGTACTTGGACATTGCCATTTCTTCATGTATCTTTAAGCTTGAAGCTGAGACATACTAAATACTAGACAAGCAACATGTAAAAGAGGACAGCCTGCAGTGTAAGTTCTGAGAGGAATATTCAAAGGCTAATACTTCATGAAAAGTTAATTGTTCAGCAACTGGTAAAATGTAGTTTGGAGGTCAGGTTTTTCCTCTTGACTCTGCTAGATAAGAGTTTCCTTGGGCTCTGTGAAGTGGTATTGAAAGTTAGTTTTGATTACAGGTGTTTTGCTGCACAGGATTTCCCTGATATTTTTCTTGAAGAAAGAAGTCGCTATACACTAATGATTTAGGACAGTGTGCTTGAGACCCCATAAGTGATTCTCTAACCGTACTGCCACACACAGTTACTATTGAATGTATATGAACGCCCCACATTTATAACATGGTGTACATGCTTCTTCAAATTTGTCCCATTCTTTTGTTTTTATCAAACAGCATTAAACTGTCAGTTGATGAAATCAGAAATGCCAAGAAGCAAATACAAGAAGCCCTCTTCTTCAAAGGAGGTAAGACACACTTACTCTTGGCTTTAATTAAACTATTTTTCATTGCATCTTCATGCGCAGTACTTTCATGGAGTGCATGTAGTAAAAAGAAATCACTCACCAAGGCTTCTGTGTTACAAATTATCTGCTTTGCAGATCAGACACCCTACTGGTTTAAGCTGCCCAAGATCATCCAAGACATGCTCCAAGAGTTGGGGGAACACCTCAGCAACATCAGACGAGATCTTGCCACCTGGATAGATGAGGTTGACAGCTCGTCAGATCCCATCAAGATGTTGACTGGTGGCACAACAGACTCGGTAATTTTCCAGTTGCTTGTAAATGATGATGGAGAAGATGCTGTGTACTAGAGGTTTCAGTAAGATCAGATAACCTTTAATCATCTAAACTAGAACTACATTTCTTAACTGAATGCAAAATCAAACAAATGTTCATTAATTGTGTACATTTTGGATTATTGGACCAGTTTTTTTGCTGCTTTAACAAGGACTGTCAAAAGAACATTTGCCCTCACTTGGCACATCCCCTTTGTATGACAATTTGCCTTGTGCTAAATATGTTATTGGTTCCTATATACATATAGCTTCAGTGGTTCTCTTCTGGCATTTTTATGGATGGCCTGATATAATTCATACAATGTGCACTGCTTGCATTGGTCACCAAGCATGGACAGTATTTTCAACCAGTACTCAAAAAGCATCAATTACTTTTGACATTAAAGACAAGCACTCGTTTTCCCCATACATGTAGAGGATGAGATTTTGTACCCATAAGGAACAAGCAAGTTGATAGATCCCCGCTTGTGATGTGCTATTGTATGCTTGCTAAGTTGCTGGGGAGAAGAATTTGTTACCCACAAATTTGCATGGGTCACATTTCATGGCAGCAATTTTAACATCTGCAGTCACTCTTGATTTCAGTCACCTATCCACTTCTAGAGCCAATGATTTTCCGCTATGGCGGAAAACAGAATCAACACTTTGAAACCAAATCCACTGCTTGATACGGAACTTTCCAACTAAGAATGGCTTAAAAAGTAAAGAAAACTCTCTGCAAAGTACTACAAATAAATGCCTACCAAACCCTTTTAAAATGCTTGCATTAATGAACGTATTATGCTGGGAAAAATGCTAAATTGCACCACTCCAACACATGATTGGGTTATCCGCACTGTGCTGGTACCGATACTTGCAGGCTTTATGGTGTGCACGAGCCCCTTGCGTGCAGCAGCACCCGGCACAGTACCGCTGCGCAGTTCGGTACACACATTGGCCACTCACACGTGCACCGTACTAGCATTGAAATCAAGGCACAAACAAGTTCATACTCACACATATGCTTGTTGCACACGCATGGAATTCAGTTTGTGAATCTGCATAGATGCCTTGAGACAAGGCTAGTAGTACCACATGGCAAAACGATGAAGCAGCAGCAGCAGCAAAATGGAAGACTAATTACATGTTTCTGGAATTAAACGAAACCTAGTAAGCTTGGTGTACCTTAGCTGAATGGGCCCTCGGAAGTGTTTGATGTAGAGTGAGGCTTTCAGTCACAAACATACATTTTAAGGCTCAGATTTAATGTTAGCTTTCTGAATTTTGTCGCACTACTGCTAAATAAGATGATGGGTCAATGTCCAACATTAACATATTGTGATCAACGACTGTTACATGCAAGACCTATTCTGTGACATCACTGTACGTGTACTTCTATGTATTCTGATTTTATGCACAAGGAGTGGCACATTAATTGTCCGTTTATTTATTTTTTTATTCCATTTCTTTACCCAGGGTATGCCCAGACAGTTACAAACTGGTTTCCATTGGGGCCCTGCAATCATTACAAGTTAATAAAATACATATAGTTAGAAACTCACAAACGAAAAGTAACTTTGACAAATGCGACAAACAATAATATTTACAAATACAAACCACTAAAATATGATTCACATGTGAACATTTAAATAATCAAGGCATTAATTAACTGCTGATCACGGGATGGGCGAAAACCCCGCAAAAAATCCTACGGGGGAAAAAAGAACACAGGGAAACTCCCGATTTCACTTCAACTAACACTGGCAACCAAGTTTACAAGTACAACCAAGTCCATTGATTAATCATAGTAAGTTTTTGATGATCATGGCCCGGCATGATCGCTCGCAGTGGGAAATATCAAGGGATGGGGATGCCGTATTTATTGTTTTTTTTTTTTTTAATTTTCACTACGGAAATTATACAAAAGTTGGAAACATTGCAGAGTATTTCCAAACAGTATTTGTTTCTTTTTGGGGGGGAAGGGTATGGTTGGGCAAATGGTTTCCATGCATAGTTTAGAACTTGCTCTCCTATTTCATGCTTAGGAAGAAATGAAACGGAATTTGAATTTCCGTAGTGGAATTTGGGATTTGGTGAAATGGAAAGTACCCATTTTTGAAACGGAAAATCGTTGGCTCTACACTTCAATTTCATGCTTCTCATCTTGTATACAGTTTACAGTGAGGAAACAAGTCCAAGCTGAGATTGAGTCTATCTTCCAAGACCTGATGGGTCCAATGCAGCCCGTTGCAGATCTCTTGAGTCCCTTCTTTGATCTGTGTGACCATGTATTTCGTGCTGTTGGAGCTGTAAAGGAAGCTTATGAGACTCTCAGGGATGGGTAAGTAAATGTATGTGGACCAGCTAAATCTTCTGGCAGTGAAATGTAAAATGTGCATTTATGTCTTGTCAGTGTCTTGCTCAAAACAAATGCAGACAGAAGGTGCTAAGATCCAATCGACATAAAAGTCATTGGATAGGTAAAGCTTATACTCAAGATGATACACGTATTAGTTGAATAATGTCTTGAAGACATCATCACGCAATTTATTATCTAATTTTGATTATATATTATTTTCTTGTTTTGGTCGATTTAAACCTTGAATTTACAAGTATAGTTTGTAGCTGCGCAGAAGGATGTATAGAAGCCCTTGGGTCTGTTGTCAAATTGATGGATAGAAGAGCTGTCTATGCACTCTTTGAACGGTTTTAAATCTCAATTCATTCAAAATTGGGTCTGAAATTTAATCATTTTCTTACACCAAATATCTTTGAGTTTAAAAATTTCTAAACTCATCCACTTGCCATTGAACATTTTAGCTGCTTGATTAAAATGAATACATTTGAAAATTGTGACCCGAATACAAAACTAGATTGGGGAAAGCAGATGATGTGCCACATCAACTTTTCAGGCTTGAAAAGGAAATCCTATTACTTAATTTTTTTTTCAACAATTTGTTTAAAAGTTGTTTTAAACATAAGTATTCTCTTACTTGCTTACCCCAAATTTAAACCTTGAATTTACAGGTACATGTACATGTGCTTGGTGCATAAGTGAACACAAACACAAATTTGTGATGCCAGATCAGATATTCGCACTGCGAATATGCAGAAGTTGAACCCATTTCAACTGAAGCCAAACTATGCTGCAAATCTCTTGTGACGACAATGTCGCTTCACTTTCAAATTCACCTGAAGTTTGAGCCAGCCTTAAGACCTGCCATGCAACGGGCTCTCAACCAATAAGAATAGCTAAACTGTGGGTATTTTTTAAACACAAATTAAAGTCATAAGCTTGGGCATGGGCTTGGTTGGGCTATTGTATTTTCAACAGCTAATTCTTGTGTTTTTTTCAGATATCGAAAGTCTCAAGCTCTTGTCATAAAACTGTTTGGGCCCAAGGCTCATGACATATTTCCCAGGAAATATAGAGAGCCTGGATCTGGTGCCTGTGCATCTGGAGGATTCTACCCAACGGACTCTGCTGGACAATATGAACATCAGGGTGTTGATCTGGAAATACCCGCAGGGGCAAAGGTGAATTTTTTATTTTGGGCATTGAATTTAATTACACTGTACACGTATAAAGATCAAGATTTCTTGTTAATTAGGGTTCCTGTGGTCACGGAAACCCGGAAAAATCTTGTAAAAAAATTAGTCCTGAAAAGTCATGGAAAATTGGGAAATTCAGGTGTCCTGGAATCCTGTTGTCCAAAAACAAAGTCAGAGAAATATTATGGAAATCAAGATCATGCAGGAGGTTATTTGTGGTAGGCCGCTTTTGATGTGATAATGGAATAATGAAGAATTTACAGGCTATCTCTGTCAGTCTTTGGTACAACGTAGCAGCATGCAGTGGCAATCTTCAGTTCATAATGCCAAACAACTTTTCCTCACAAAATGGCTTTAAATGACATGGAAATAGTCATCTTTTAGTCCTGGAAAGTCATGGAAAAGTCTATGAATTTTGTTTTCAAATTTTTGTTGGGAACCCATGTTTAAGTATTGCAAAAAATTTCACATAGTGTTTAAGAATACATGTAGCAAGTGATATTCAGCTTCAATTAAATAAAACAGCTATTTCCTGTGTGCAAAACTTGTAACAATTGTTAGCTCAATTCTTTTCTTTAGATCCTGTTTCTGAGAACGAGCAATCTGCTGATGACTATTAAATGTACAAATGGTTGTCAATAATTTGTCGCTTTGTAGTTGGTGGCCCCATTTTCAGGAGTCCTTTTCAAGAGTGAGGGCAAACCCAACCAGGTGACTCTCGTCGCTGGGGGTGGCGCCTTCCGTAACATCAGGATCACCATTGACAACATTGAACCCAACAGAACTCTGTCTGAAACCAATGGAGTGAATGTAAGCTGTGGTAGTACTGTCAAAAGTTGAAGTGGTCATGTTTATTGTAATTAGACCTGTGGCTGTAAGTGGCAATGTTTGTTATTGGTTGTGATTGTCTAATTTGGACTCATCCTTGTCATCCTTGCTCTAGAGTAAATGCATTTAAAATATGCCCAAACTTTAGGTTTTCTTTACCTTGTGGTTATCAACAGAAAATCAGTTTTCCTGCATTGTGTTTGTGTTGAGTTACTTCCACTGAATACTGTAGAGTTTTTCATCAGACTAGAGGTAATGCATTAGAGGAGTTTTATCTCTAAAATGTATACACTATGTGAAAAGTCCTTATTATCTCATGCTAGTGGTTTGGATTTTCCCTTAACCCTCTTGGCATCTTTCACTAACTCTCGACGGAGTTGCACTTTAGATTGCCTGTGAACTTTGAGCACTACAGTCTGATTTGGGATTACAATCTTAGTGTGTTGAGTCCAAAAATTTCTAATGGGGTTTTGGCCCAATTTTTTAAACTGACTGATTTCTGGTTTATTCCTTTGAAAAGGTGATAGCTGGCACTGTCATAGGTACTGTGGGCCAGTCAACAACCTGCAGACCATCCAACTACATCCACCTGTCCATGAAGAAACTCAAGCCAAATCGCCTGGCGTCATTTCTGGACAGTGCCCTGGATGACGATCCATCAGCTGCCCAGCTGGCGGCAAGGGAGGGATACGTGGACCCCAGCAACTACGTGGCTAATAGACCGCTGACAATGCCCAAGTGGATTCAACAATGTGATGATTACAAACTGGTGTGGCTGGTAGGTCCTTAATACAGAACTGCAGGTGGATGTGTTATGTTTGGAGCCAAATTGAAATACTGTAGAGACTTTATACTCATATCAATATCATGGGGATTCCCCTTTCATAGGGAATGACAGTGTTGGAAGGTTCTTTACTGGGACGTAACAAGAACAGGACAGAGGATACAAGTCCAGAGCGCCAACCTCCCCCTGACATGACCACCGATAGACCTGACCCCAGCAAGATACCACCTAGATGGCCATCCTCTCTTGATCAAGCATTGTCAGAAGGTAAAATAAAGCAACCTGTTTCATCATTACATTTGTCACCTGAAATTATTAAGATATGGAAATACCAAGATGCTACGTACGTACCACCCTCAAAATTGCATGCGTTATTGTAGAAGCTCATATTTCTGTTTCATGTCTTGCTATTCCAACTGCTACAGCCAATAAACAAGAGACTGAAGATGCACTTGGCCTCCCTCAGCCCCAAAAGGGCTCAGGTTCTCCATTCCAGAACTTCACGTTGAGGAACTTGAAGATCGGATCCATTCTGGCATTTGCCCGTCGACTTGGACTGGAAAAAACTGCAGATGAATTGCTTGCTGTTGTCCAGACAATTGTTGTAAGTTTGGTCCTCTAAATATCATTGACTAATTGGACTCTTTCAGAGTAAAAACTAATGAAATGTAAACCACCTCTTTTTAAAACTTTGTAGTCAAAATATGTACATGTACTGAACTTTTGCGTATGTAGATTTTACAGCACACTATCAAAGCTACGCAAGACAAATCTGAAGTAACAAGTGTCATCTGTGCACAGCCTACCAATTGTCTCTACCAGTGTAGAGAAAAGACCTACATAATTCCTGGTTCACATTCCATGTAAGCCAGCTTTGGACATGCCAATATTACTGAGTCAGTGTCCCCAGGGTCATGACCTCAGTCGATGTATTCCATATATTGACCATTCATCCATTCTTTGAAATTATATCATGTAATTATTTCCTTACCTGACACTCCCTCCTTAGAAGAGGTATCCATGTTCCCCAATTGAGAGGTACAAAAAATATCATTTTCTTCAACTGTAAGCTGATTCTAATCTGCTGGTTAGCTTGTAAATAAAATCGTTCTTCTCTGAAAAATTTTTCCTGGTTCAAGTTCCACTTAAATCAACAAGTGGACAGAGTTTGGTCCCAATCTTATTCCATAGGTTTAATCCCACAAATATATTTCCCTTTTTCTCCTACCTCTAAAACTGACCATTTCTTTGATTTCTTTTTTACCTTCTTCAAATTCCATTGTACAGTCACATGAATATTTCAAGTTTGCTGTCAGAATTCTTTCTGTAACTTTTTTGTCCTAATTGTAGAAACTTGTGAGCGATAAGCCCTGTGTTCTGCCTGAGTCTATGTCTGACGATTTGCTCAGAATTGAGCTTCAACAACGTGGCCTGAGCTCTCAAGGAGACAGGAAAACATTACTTCAGCGATACAAACAGCCTGACGATCGTAAGTATGATGTATGGTCGATGTATGTGTATCGTATTTAGTGATTAAATATCTTTGGAAATTAAGTTCCAACTGCCATGTCTTGGTTCACCTGGCGGTGAAAGATGTTGGTGATCTGAGGAGTTGGAGTATGATGGGATTCCCAGGAGAGGTTGATATATAGTCAGTGCTTATGTTAACACCTGTTCCAATCTCTGTGACAGTGTTACAATTGGCTTCACATTGGCAACTGCTTTTTGGAGTTGAATTCTGTCTTCAGCTTGCTGGGAGATAACAAAGTCTTCATAATCATTTGGACAGATCAGTGTCAGAGAAAGTTGTTTGCTTTCTTTTTACCAATGCTTGATTCTTTCTTTCTGGGGCCAATTTTACAGAGTTTCTTATAAGCACAAAATTAGTTTAACTTAAGAGAGAAGAAAACCTTGTTTGATAAATCAGTTTACCAGCCAAAACTCCATGGAGTGTAGGCCTATATTGTTTTGCTCGCTCTGTATTCGTTGGCATAACAAGGACACAGAGTTTGAGCAGGTAACAGCAAATTTTGCTTAAGCAAATTTTGTGCTTAAGCAGCTCTATGAAAGTTGCCCCTGGTCCTTACTCAAAACAATAGCAGGGTAACTGTCATTATTCTTCAAACACACCCCCTTTCAAAGTGTTTCGGTGCATATGTAGTCATTGTCACTGGGCTTTAGTGGACAAGTTTATACTCTTCCCTTAAGAACACACATATACATGTATGTTGGGGGTCATTTTTAATGAAAAGATTGACCAGTGAGGACCATGCGTTCATTATTGGACCTCGTCCAACAACTGGCATGAGCACAGTTTTTCTTATTTGTTTATGTATGTGTGTTTCCAACACAGCCAAGTAGCAGGGACTATTTCTTCAATTTTTTCAGGTTGTCCGCTACTTCAAGTTTCCTTGCCCAAGAATGTGTACTGTAAGATTGACCCAAGCTGCCTGGGTGTGGAGTGCTGCATGAATGTCAAACTCTTCATGGTGTCTCTGGCCTTCAAGGCGTTCATGCGTTTTGACCCGTGCGAGTTCCAGTTTGTCCTGGGAGTCAATTCCTGGAACCACACAATCCAGATCCTGGAGGCCGAATTTGGTAAAGTCATGCATCTGATCAGTTATGATATGCTCTTACTTTTCAAGATGTGAGAAACAACGAAAAGGGCCATTAAATTGGACATATTGAAATAAATCTTGTACATGATTTCCTTCCTCTCCTGACTTGTTTCTCCCTCAGGAAGAGAATTGGACTTGCCAGTGCCCTTTGACATACCATTTGTTGAAGGAATGCAGCTACTTCTCAGGTCTGTTCCTTTCCTCTTTCAATCTGATTTAGGAATGAATCTTGTGGAAGTTAATATTCTCCCGGCAATCTACTTCAATTAAAGTTTTGTGACAGGTTCTTGTGTTATTTTGTACCCCTAAAACTTCATATGTGAAGTATGAGAGAGTATGTGAAAAACCAAGGTAAAATGAAGCATTGCTGGCCTGTCAGGTTGAACCTAAGGTTTAAACTACCATTAGGTTAAACTTAACAAGTCAGCAGTTCCTTTGGATTCAAACGTTTTGAAGTCCAGTCCTCTTGAAGTCACTGTGCATGTGAATAATCTCAAGAATGACTGTAAAAGGTTTTGCATCAGGGGCATTCACTGTGATTACATTTTAAAGGTAATACACATTTTGCTTTTTGACATCATTTTAACAAATTGCCCAGATTTGGGGGTTTGTAATCTATCTGCCCCTAGCAGAAGCACCCTTTCGTCAGTTTAAAAGAGCCATTGTTGGTCTGAAGTGTTCATTTTGTTGGTAGAGATGCAACTCTAACACTTGCATTTGATAGTCATTTGTGAACCAGCAATTTGCAGTTTTCTACCAAAGAAGCTTCCGTTGCTCAGAAAATTGCGCCCTCTGGTGGTCCAGCTCGAAGCTCATAGTGTAATTCAGCAAGCAGAATTAGAAGCCATTACAACTCTGGTGGACAAGTGGCTCGCATGCATTACGTGCCATTTGGACTAATAGAGTGTTGTGATTTGCCAAATGCATGCATGCATCAAGTCCGAGAATGCCCCTTTACATCTGTTAGTGCATCGCCTTTGCCATTGCCGTGTCTCCTTGGTTGTCTTCAATCATTCCACTGACCTGTTTCATATTACCTGGGAAACACCCTGGCAATGCCCATGTTTACAAATCTTGCAAGCACTGGAAAGAATGTTGGCAATTCCTGTTTTCTATAAAATAACAGCAGTCTGGGTACAAAGACTTCACAGCTTGATTGACAATGTTATTTCCTTCGTTTCGAATATGCTATTTCACAATTATTCAGCAGTCTATGGTTTTGTTTTGTTTATTTGGTTTTCAAATGGATTAATAAGGTTGGACTGCCTCTTACACCTTTGTCTAATTTCACCCCTGATGTACCCCCCATGCAGGCTCACCATTGATAAGAGCCCTACTAAACTACTGGTCAGCATGTCTGTTGGCCTCTGTCCAAAGACCGGAGATGCAGACTGCTTATCATTCGTCGACATGCTGACAGATTCTGCCATCCTTTTACCAATTTGTCTTCCCAATGGGACCATCACATGGCCAGATAGTAAGTGATTTGATTGCAAATGTGTACATTACTTGCTCAATTTTCTGTTTATGAATACGCAATGATTGTGACATCTTCAAAATTATGTGTACGAGACAACTACACCAGACAAATAAAATCGGTCATATTGCTCATAGTTAGAATTACATGTGTAATAAAAGGTTGGTGATCTGGTGAAAACTTATGCAGTGCTGAAATATAGAGACAGCACTTTATAATACTAATGCTGCAACAAGTAATGATACTTTCTTGTAGTTGATCTTGAGGAATATTTCTCCCGTGCTAACCTGAAGAGGATTCTTAAAGAGACAGGAGAGGAAACACTGCAGGCTGGGGCAGAACTTGCTTTGAGCTACGCAATGGACAAGCTTGGCATACCGAAGGTATGTTTTGTGGCACAGTTGGAAGTCGTATAACAAACAAATTTATTCCAGTGTAACCAAATGACAGTTGATAACTGATCTGATTTGCAGTTGAGGCTTCCAGGAAAAAAAAACATACTCGATCAACTACTTGTTCCATAGTCATCCAGTTTTCAGTTTCTTCGATTTGGGTTCTGTCAATGCCCCACGTGACCTGTTGTGCATCCACCATTGTCACAGGCAAACATAACAGCATCTTGCACAATATTTAAGTTGGGAGCTGTATGAAATGATGAGCTAGAAGCCAGTTCTTGATAGATAGGGTGACCCTACAGTATTATGTTGATGTGTTGAAGCAACAGATACAAAACTCCAAAACCCATGTTCCTTTTACGTTAAACTCATTGTAAAAGTAGTGACTCTTAGAAATATATAGCAGTTGAAAAAGCTCAATGATTTAATATTATAAAAAAAGACTTAGCTAACAGTTTTTTTTTCCATCCACCCATGGCCACGAATTTCAACTGAAGGGACACTTTCTCAATATGGCTCCCTTGGATGCAGATGTGGTATACGCATACTGTGCACATGTGCATGTACACGTCAAAGCTGATGGCTGAATGCACGATCTAAACTGTTATTTCATTGGATGAAACACTTTACATCAATAACGAAGGGATGATGAAATAGTCGCCAATCAAAATAATTTTTGCATGGTCAGTTAGCTAATAAATAAATGAAGCTGCCCTGTGATTGAGGAAGTCAAAGAATTGTACTAGCCTGAGTTATGGTGCATTGAAATTGGGAAATAGAAGAGAAGGAGAGTGTAAACAATGAATTTACACACAAAATTACGCCAAAACAAGACAAAATGACGGAGTTAAATCAATGACATTTGCCATCTTTTAAAGATTTTTCAAAAGAAATATGTATCACAACTTCATAATACTCAATTGAGGAAGCAAAGGATTGACGCGCTTTGAAGCTATGGCAGAAAACAAGAAATGAGCCCCGATTTTTCATGGGTCTTTCTGTGAGGACAAGCTGCGCAGTGGGAAATGAATGCAAAGGAATTGATATGCATGATACTTTTGATCATTCCCCATTAGAGTATTATATGAAGTAACCTGAGTGCATACCAAAGTGCAGAGACATAGGCTAAATGAGAGATCATGAGCCGATAGAAGGCTTGTAGCTCAGTTGTTAGGATTGCCAGCTCTGATATTCTTGAACTAGCTCACTCCTTGTATATACCCCATTTTAGGTTAACCCTCTTTAGGTTAGAAAACAAAATTAGTAGGTAAGATGAGTAGAATAATAGTGGCGTATTCCATTGTATAAGAACTTTATAATGCAAGCATTACTGTATCTAGGAGTTGCTGAGTAGTAAGGAAACCTGCCTAACACCAGCCACCATGAGTGATTCACAACTGATTGCTAGCCTGAAAGGCAGACAACTTGTAACCACAGGAACCAGGATGGAATGGGAAGCAAGGCTATCTGAGGATGACAGAAGTAAGCCATAAAAAAGGGAAGTTGTAAAAATATGATTATAAACGAAACTGTAACGGAAATAATGTGTAAATAATTTGTTTGTCAGTTTAAATTCTTAACAGAGGATATAAGTACTCCATGTAAGAAATGGTGAATGAAATGCTGAGAAATTAATTTGCCATTTGGCTATCTGTGTTTTTTGAATAGGAAAGATTTGGTAGCCCCTGCAATTGGCCTGAACTATTCTGGACTCTGTTGATGTGTGATAACTTGTCATTGATTTATGCAGCTTGTAAGTTCTTAGCCTTGCCAGTGTTTTCTCCTGAGCTGGCTCAGGTGGCCTACTGCTCCCTGAGTGACAACTGCCTCCGTCTGGACTGTTGTCTGGAACTCAACCTCCGGAAGTTAAAATTCCGCCGATCATTCAAAGCCTCCGTGGAGGTGGATGCCTGCGATTTCACCTTTATCATTGCATTTCAGCACCTGAAGTACAAGAAATTGCTACTGAGTTATGAGTGGGGTGAGTCACTGTGTGCTACCTACTTCTCAGAGTACCATTGTTGAATTTAATTCTCAGTTGTCACCACAATTAAGCATGGTCACTGGGTGAAGGCCAACATAGAAATGTCCTTAGTTCATTTATGATGGCTTGCTTCACGTTGAGTGTTGGGTGCTTATAACTGCTTGTGAAGACTTGTGATTACTTGTAAAGCCATTGAAGTTCTTGATCACGATCCTACTTGCTGTTTGTACTGACAAGGCCTTGAGCCAATTATGCCATTTTGAAATTTTCAAAACATTCAGTACATACCAGTAGGTCCAAGTAGCTCTCTCCACATCTTGTTCAAAATCATGCACATACTCGTTGCAAAATGTTGCGAGCCTCAGCTCCAACATTGACAGTTTGAAAAGCTGTGCTTTCAAGAATCATTCCGGGACATTGTTATAGGTATTTACTCTAAAACGTCACTATACAAAATTAAGCCATAGCCATAAAGCAGCTGATTCAGACAGTGAATTCAGACTTCGAACGAATGCTGGTTTGAGTAGATTTTTAAAGACACAATAGTTTTTAACATCTTAAGCTGTGCTTGTATTGTTATTGGAAGTGATTCATTTTCACCTTGTGATGTGTGTGCACTCAGGACAACTGCAGCAGCAAAACATTGGTGTGATTGCCCTGAAATATTCCATTGACAAACTGGATGCTGAGAAGGTGTTTAAGATCAACTTTGGGGCATCTGTCTGTCCCAGCGGCGAGGATTGCATCTTTGATTTAGACATCATCCAGGACTACAGGGTTCCCATTCCTGTCTGCAGCTCCAACTTTTCAATCTCCCTTCCAGGTAGGCAGGATGTAATCACAGTAACACTGCTTTCAGTGGTAGTGCCAAGATTAAACTATGTTTGGCTCTGAAGAACGCAGGATTTTGACAATAAACATTTGCAACTGGTATTTCCAAATGTTGAAGTGTTTTGCACTGTTTGGGTTTAAATCAATATTTGGGTGCCCTGTTGGGCGAGGATGAAATTGATAAGCAAGGCCTTGAATTTCAGCACTGGTCCTTGATCTGATTTTTAGCATTGAAATTGATATTTCTATGTATTTCTCCACATATCCATCTCTATACATGTTTTTATAGTTTGATGTATACAATTTCCATTTAAGCAGTATTTGTATGACTTTCTCGTTTGAAAGATTATTTATAAGAACTACAGGAAAAGGAAGGTCCTTTTAAGTAGGAAAGTTTTCTAGTCTTTAGATTGAGCCAGATTTGTGGCTAGACAATTTCAGTCACATTCCCCACTTGAATGCAAACTTGATTGCCACCATCAAACCATTAAGTAACCCAAGAGTCCTGAATTCTTACATTTACCCAAGGGAGAACCCTATTATGAGTTTGTACTTCTTATTGTTCTTGTCGTCACCAATTTGCACAATACATGACAGACACAATTGCCTGCCTCCTTGTCCCCGTATGAATTTGATGTCGCTAATTCCTGTCTCATCTACAGACAAGTTCAAGAGAAATTCAATGAGGCTATGATATACCGTTGATCTTCTTTCATCTTCAGGAGGCAATACCCTGAGTGAGTTTGTGGCTGCAGTAGGTCGAAATGCTGGTCAGCAGGCGGTAAACATCTTTCTGGAGTACATTGGACTGAGGGATAAGATTAATGATGGACGTTGCAACACTACAGCCCTGGTTGCCGTAGATGAAGAAGGTAAGGGTATGCATAATTTCTGTCCAGAATTCTTTCTGTCATTCAAGTTATTGAATTTTGTGATATGCATGCAAGTCTTTGCAGTACACCGGTACATGTAAATTTTTCATGTGTCCACGGTTTTCTGCAACTTCAGTTTCTTCACTTCACTTTCTTTTGTGTTACTTCCTGTTTTTAAGTCCATCCGCCCTCTTCCTAGGCCAATCCATCTGCACACACTTTCCCAGTGGAGCATGCTAGGATACATTTACTGCACAACTCATAAGCTGATGCCTTGAAGGCTGAACACATCATATCTTCAGTAGAATAACACGTGTACATTTTGTCTGAAATGGTGCAATCTTGTTTACCGTAAATACTTGTGTGTTAAAACAGTCATTTGAATTTGAAGGTCAACTTCACTTTCTCCCAAAGTGATGTAAATGCTGTTGTATGTGTAATGTGGAGGAAGCCCACACAGTAATGTTTGCATGATAAACTGGTTACAGTCAATAAAAATGGTGGGAACAAGGTCAACACCTAAGCCAGTGACTTAGGTGGAATAATGATCATTAAGTGTGTTCCTTTGACAACCTGAGCTCCCAGAAATGATTTAAATAACACCTGATCTGTAAGTTTATTCATCTGACTAGATTTTTTTCTGTATGTGTGCATGCACCTTCGTGTATTTTTGTATTTTTTGTTTTCCTGAATTTATGTTGATGCCTCACCAGTGTGTTGTAGTTAAGCAGTCATCAAGTGTATGCTTGACCATTCTCTGTAATGAAACCAACAACACAGCGTCCTAGGCACTGTGGTTTGTAAGCCTGAAGAAACTGGTAGAGAGGAGACAAGGAGAAGCAGTTAAAGTTTTAGAGCTGGAAGGAAAACCCTAGATTAATCTTCTGGGTAAAAATCCTCAGAATCAGGTTGGAACTAAAAACCCAATCCACATGTTGTCCAAGTCAAGAATCGAACCCAGGCCGCAGAGTTGCAAGGAAAGGAAAGACCCACCACGCCAACCTGACTCTTTCACACACTCTGGACTCTCCTCACCACAAGTTGTGTGCTGTTTTGCTCAGCCCATGTTATTTTTCCCCTCTGATACCCAGTTTGCACCGACGTAAGCCTACCAGCACTGTCAAATGGACTGACCTGTCAGCTTTCACATGGATGCCTGGGCATTCAGTGCTGTGTTGAACTTGATGTGCAAGTCACCATACTGTCGGTCAATGTGTGGCTGATTCTAGACCCATGCAAGTTCATGATGTCGGTTGGCTTTGGAAAGTGGTCCTTGACATTCACCATATTTGACTACCACTGGGGTAAGTGCATCATCTACAAATGTTGTGACTGTCGAATTCCCCTGAATATAAGAAGCAATATTTTTAAGTAGCACTGTTGATTCTTCATTTAGGGAAATGTTAGCATACAGAACTTGTTAACAAACTTTGATTTCTCCAGATTTGTTGGGTTTTCACAGAAACTTTTTACATAATTATAAGGAACTTTTATTTTTGTACAAAATACTGGTTGTCATGTCGACAGTGGAACAACTCTTGAGTATTTGCATTCAGAGCACTGTGCCTGACTTACAATGTTGTTAGAATCCTCACAAATCAATTGATCTTGTCATTTTTGCATTTACTGAAAGTCCATAATTTTTACCTCCAAATATTTTTTCTTTGATTTGATTTTCTTCATTTTTTTCGGAAGAGCCATCTCAGACAACCAAAAATGGGGCAAAACATTACTGTTTGCATTTTTTTTCTTTTGACTTTTTACAAATATATTAATTGTAAATTGTACAGTTTTTAAAGTTTGATTCATTTCATAATGTTGCCACGTATTTTTACCAGGTACCCAGGAGCACATTAAGATTGGCAAAGCCTTGACCCTCATCTACACCATCGACAAACTGACTGAGGCCAAGGTGTTTGTGCTGGATCTAGCCCTGTCCCTCTGCCTGCCAGATTCAGAGTGTAACACGCCCTCTATTGACATCCTCAGGAAAACCCAAGTGCCGATTCCACTCTGCAATGAGAATGCTACATTCACTCTGCCAGGTTTGCTGTTTTTAGTCTGTTGTTTTTCGCTCACTTTTTAACCAATGAAAACATAACAGCATAGGAAATATGTGGACAGCTCGAATGCCCAAATAGAAACAAAACAAGCTGTTAAAGGAGTTGACACCTTTGATTTTTTGTTGTAATTTCACAAGATTGGCTGATGACAGTGTGTAAGATTCCCTGCAAGTTAGGGGTCATCCATTTTTTGTCATCATTTTCACAAGCGTACAAAGCGTACTCTTTTTCCAGCCCCCCTCCCCTCTAAAAGAGTTCAGAATAAACTGATGATTTCTCTTTGGTGCCTGAGGACCCATTGTAACTCACAATGTATGGCTGTTAATGTGCAGTAGACAACCTGAGAATAGTAGCAGGAAAAACAATGTCCATGAGAGGCCTCGACATTCACGGTTTCTGATTGCTCGTGACAAATTTCTTCCAGTTTGGGCAAGTAAAAATTAAGGACATATTTCCCAATGGACAGGTACTTTTTTCTTTAAAATAAAAGTGTCCATTTTTTGTGGCCAAGAATAGCAATGTGTCTGTCAACAGTGAATCTGTCTGGATACCAAACCTCATTGCATGTATGGTGCAGTGGATTTTTTTTGGGAAGGTCGAAGACTGTTTCACACGTAGCTGTGATTTAACGTTAGTGAATTTTGCCTGGTACTTGTTGGTGCTCTTTTTCCATATATATGACACAGGCAAAATTGTTGAGTGGTTAAGAAATAGCCATTGCCCGAGCTTGTATGAATGATGCATCAGAGTCCTCTGCATCCTCTGCACATACGCAATAGTTGGGGGGTGATAGTTGGCCCGTCTATGATAATTGTCATTTTTAACATGTTTCTAAAGCGTACACAACCAATTCACCCTCTCCCCCAGTGTCTGGTTTTTACACTCATGAAAATGATGACAAAAATGGATGACCACTTACTTTTCACTAACTTGTTTCATGTTTGAGTCAACTGCTTTGTGAAAAATCAAGAAATCAGCCTGGCAGTTTCAATGATCCAAGATCTTGTAATTTACCTTGCGAAAAATCTATGAAATACCGGGCATTTGTACTAAGCGAACAACATTCACGGGGTCAGGGTGGGGAACAGGCATGACAGGTTCTCTTTCCCTCTAAAAAAAGAGCAGTTTTCAACGGCCAGGAGTGATCAGTTAATTTACCATGGAGCATTGTGGATTCATGGAAACAATTCTTCCTGGAATTAATGTATGCAGTCAATTCATGTCTGTGACTCTGAAACAATCAGTATGTGCTCATGCCTGCGTGATTGTGCTTCTTGACCACACTTTCATGTCAGTTTACACGTCAGTGAAAGTCTAAAAACTCAATTCTTAGTTGACTAACTAATGATTATGGGCAAAGGGGGAATTATGTCTTGAAACATATGAGGTTTAACTTGTGGGAGTCATACTTTTTGTTCACAAAAATCCTTTCACTAGGCAGCTTGGAAACGGCCTCCATAATTAGGACCAGACAATTATGTTCAAGGATGATTTTGAATTTCCTTTAAAATTCAACTTCACACTGATCCAATTTATTTTTTACTTCATACCTTACACTCAGTATCCTCAAATTTCAGTTTACATTAAAGTTTGATGAATTCCTGCCAGTATATTTTTAGCTGCTTTCAGTGTTTATAAAACCTGTTCATTCATGGAGACTCTCACAACATCTGCAAACACGACACACATGGTGCCTGTTAACGCATGTGGTGTGTGATGTGAAATGAACTGCTAAAAAGTGCGTATCATCATGAAAAAGGAGAACAAAATTTCTATTTTCTCGAAAACTACAACATTCTGTTTGGGAATATTTTACACATGGACTGAAGCTGTTGTGGACTTGCTTTCAAGAGATTATACAGTAGTCCGATTTTGTTTAAACTGCCTTTGAAATAATCACATCCCAACAAGAATCGTACACAGAGTGGTACAAATATCAGTGTTTTAGTCTTTCTGAAACATAAATGTATTAGCAATAGTACTATGAACAAATAAAAGAACCTCTTTGAAGAACTGTGATTGGTGCTGTTATACTGAAGGATAAATTAAGAAAAGCTGATTTATACAAATGTAGGCCTTATTTATTATTAACGCTCAGAGCCTCACTTTCTACAGACTTGCCCAAAATATACAATTTTCTTCATTCCACAGGGGATGGAACTGTTAAAGGCTTCCTGCAGGTGGTCAGCCAGAATACTGCAGATTTAGCCATAGATGCCATTCTGAGTCATCTGGGGCTGTTTGTGAGTCTTTTCAAAAAAGATTTGTGTTTAAGGAACCTTTGGGAGATATTGACTTGCAGTGAAAATGTTATCAGGAGTTGGAACTGAAATCTAGTTTGTATTTCACTTTAATTGGCTTGGATTTCAAACCCTTGTATGAAGAAATAAGACACCTGATGTGGTATCTCAGTGTACCAACTTGGGGAGTGTTGACATGAAGACAGTATGAGTTCTCACTTTTTGTCATTCCTTGACATTTTTAATAGATCATCATTAATTAAAAAGTGGTTAGTTGCAGTTTTACATCATCATTTCTGTGTTGATTTCCACATGAGCCAATTCCCTGATTGGTTTCAGTTCTCCCTTCCCCCCTTTTCATTTTGTCCTGAAGTTTAAGAAACGGTTCAGACGTAGTTGATTTGAAGCATCATAAAGCCTGCTTTTTAATCTAACATTGTGCAAAACCAAACTCAGGCAAGCTCATGTAACTGTAAATGAACTAAATCATTGTCCACTTTCTATTTTGGTTAGGAATACATCAGTCGGGAGCCATGTGTACGTCCACAAGTCACACAGAATGGTTGGCAGAGACGTAAGTTCTCCATGATATCGGTTTTTCTGTTTTCCCCCAAAGCCTTTTTTTTTCATTGCTATTATCAAAAGGAAAATTTTAAAGAAAACTTATCCATAATGTTGTCATCTGCAACCACTTTAAACTTGCTTGGCTTCCCAGAAATATAAGCTGCATTCTTCCAGAGCAATCAGGTTGACAGATTGAGTCAAATACAACACGGAAACTGAAACAAATATTGAAACTTCCACAGTTTAATCGAATGTTCTTTTTTTTCCTCCCAGAGGCCAACTTTGCACCTATCAGATAAAAAACTTTGGTTCAAAATGTTTAAATAGTACTGTATTAGGTACTAAATGCTTGATGGATTGCCCAATCTTTTAAGAAATCCCACCTGCACTTAGTTTTGTTGCTTGACCCAATTATCAGTTACATGTAGCATACCAGGAAGTATTGGTTTGTATTATCATTTTTGTGTCTAGTTTGTCCACGGGAAGTCAGGCTTCCTCACCTACCCAGAAATCTCGTCTGTACCCTGCCAGAGAAGTGTCTCGGGTTCGATTGCTGTCTGGAGCTCCCAATCCCAGGAATCGCTCCCATCAGCACTCGGATCTCCTTCGTCTTTGATCCTTGTAACTATCATCTGTCTGTGAGTCTGGGCAGCTTCAGCCAGGAGCTGCAAGTCTTGTCCTATCAGTGGGGTCAAGAAGAAGAAGTCAACATTGGGAAGGCTGTTACAATACGGTAAGTGCTCAAGCTTGGAAGAAGACAGACACATTGTAGGGGCCCAGGTACTTTCATAATGAAAAGACACAAATGTAGATTTTAAAGAAAAACAAGTTTTGAGATAATTATCAAAGACGTTTCTCCTGTTTTAAAGCTTGCAAAAAAATACAAATTTGCAACATCTTATTGCAGTTAAAAACCCTGAAATGATTTTTTGAAAGGTAAACTTTTGAATGACCCTTATTGACACAGTGGTTAAGTAGCCAAAATCAGTAAGTAAAGTTGTGCACTCATTTGTGAAAATGAAAATCAACACTTTCCTGCATTGACGCACTTTGTATTTTTTCCAAAGGGGGGGGGCATGCACATTTATGCAATTGCAGTTGTAAATAAAACAAAGATGTGTGTCTATTCGTGAAAAAATACCTCAATTAACCTTCTTTTTGGCCTTTCTTGGCAATATGTTTTGAACTTGTACAAGGGGCAGTCAGATTAGTGTCTCTCCTTGAAAATGCAAAATGCAGTTATCAAGATTTATATGCTCCTGGCAACATTGATGTTATGTTGACACTAATGATGTTTTGCTTGTGGGAGCACGCCAAAATGGTCAAGTGTAATGTTTTAAAAGAAAAACTAATAAAAAATTGAAATGAAAAAAAAAAAAATTTTTATTACTGTTGCATCTCTTCTTGAAAGCAGGGATAATATTTGGGATTACTACAAGTTACTGTATGTTCTGAGTTTATTGATGATGTTGATGATACTGTCATCACAAAGTCAGAAAGGGCAGCCAAGCTTAACATCTTATCATGAGGTAGTGATATAAGCCTTTTGCAGATCTAAACTGGTAATTTGCACAGTTCAAAACTTCAAGCATTGTAAATTGTTACCAGACTGCCAAAATGAACTTAGAGTAAAACAAAGAACCGTATTTGATTATTGTAGCTTTGTAAAGGTACCTCAATTCCATTGATTCCATTAGTTTTAGGATATTTATTTGAATCATACATCTACATATTTTTCCAGTGCTGTCACATGAAATGTCCATTTAACTGCAGCCATTTAACCAACATCCAGTTTTCAATTTTCCATATATCAAAATTTTATTTAAATTTGCCTCTGAACTCAAATTAAGCATACACTTGTATCATATTTTGACCACAACTGTGAAGTTGGATGGAGGAATAGCAAACAGGAAAAAACAAGTTGTGTTTTTTTGTCCATTTTGCAGTATGACCATTGACAAGTTGAATGTAGAGGAGTCCTTTCAGATTAATTTGGATATCTCTTTCTGCTTGGACGGTGACTGTACAACCACACCGGTGCTCCGCGATGCATTGGTCCCCATCCCGCTCTGCAATCTCAATGTCTCCTTTGAGCTGCCAGGAGGTGGTAGCTTTGCTGGACTGGCCCGGACTCTTGCTGAGGATGTCGGGGAGTTGGCCATCCAGGCTGGCCTCCGAAAACTTGGAATCCAGGTATGATTTCTGGAGGAATGTTGCCCAGCACAAGGCAGAAGGACCACATGGTGTGGACTGCAAATATGAGAAAAGAAGGAAATTTTGCTTGATTTACAAAAGATTACAGGTAGAAGGAAAGCTGGTTACAGGCAAATAGTTTGAGAGTGAGACAGAAAGTGGAAAAATCCTTACTGAGTACTTGCCATCAGAACAGTGACAGTAAAAAAGACATTATGAGAATGCTAGGCAAGTAGAGTGCCCGGAAGTTAGAACAGGAGAAATCAGTGGTGAGATGCTACCAAAACACTTTCCACGGTATATTGGTTTGAGGATATTACTGCAAGCGGTGAAAGGGGGAGTAACTTATTACTGCCTTGACTGCCTGTTTAACTGTTGGTTCCTACCACATTCCACCTCACCACTCTGTGTTTTAATAGGAATTTTTTCACAAAATAATAAGTACAGTTTGCTATCTCAATCCACTTCGACTATCAGGATCCCCTCATCGGTTGAAAAGAGCTGCATTGTTTGGGAGGGTTTAGTTTCTTGGTAGTGAGTGACACGACTGTAATGAGTACAAATATGCTTGTGAAGCAATGATGTTCAGTTCCGACCAAAGGAGCTTCCATTGCTAAGGAAATAGCACCCCTTTCGTAGTCCAGCTCAAGGCTCATACAAAGAATAGGAGATTAAACCTCCTGTATGACAACAGTTTCAAGTCATTTTCCCATGGACTTCATACAGTAACCACAGAGTTAACTTGATGCCTACTTACTGCGTAATATGGTCAATCTTTTTTAAGTCAGTAAAAAACCGATGTAAACAGAATTGCAATGGTAGAAGCACATATATGCCATTCCCTTATAGTTTGCTTGAGTAGAACTTGAATAACCCTCACAAAGGTTCATCGCTTGGATCTGTGCTCAGCACAGAGCTCACTGGTGATCCCACCTTGCTTGTTTGGTGTGCGTTTTACTTTGAAATATACTGTGTTGGCCTTTAAAATAGAATGAAATAGAATAGAATGAAATAGAAATTTAATTTATTCAACCAATGGAAAGTTACAAACACAATTAACACTGGTAATTTACTTGTTCCTTGAGCTCTCTAAAGGGTAAAAGCACATAAATAAAAATGTCAAATAATATTTACTAATAAAAATGTCCTTATGAAAAGAACTGCAGGATAAAACTCTTTGGGAAATGCTTACTATTCTGAAGACAGGGATGAGATGGCAGGAATGAAACATAATCAGATGCTGGAAGAAACTCTGTGGTTCATTATCGATTGAGGGCATTTGTGCATTCTGTCATTGTAAATTAATTCAAGTGATAGCAAGTTGGTACCAATGATTTTGTCTGCTTATCGTGCAACTTAGTTCAACTTGTGCAGATCGCTGACGGAAAGTCAGACAAACACAACAATGATTTACATGTATGTGTTCCGTTCATGAATAAATTAGAAGAGGCAGTTTTGTTTCACCAATCAGCAATTTCTCTTGGTGTGCCTCAAGCATGTGTAAATTGGTTCTCATGCCCTGGCGTGGATTACACATTAGCATGTGTATAAGTCTGTATAGCACCTGTGGATGGGCACCGGTTGTATGCCATGAATATGATGTAGCATAGAGTGTCACTACAGCCCTTATGTTTTTCGTTTGAGCAAGGATGGATCCAGGGGATCAACATGCCCAGATAGAACCCTGAAATTTAAATAATAAGAGAAGGGGATGTTTTGTTGTCATTCCCTTCTTTCAAAAGCCTGGAAAAAAAGCCCAACTATGTCATCTCACCCCTCAGAAAGGCCATGAAAGGTTACTTAAAACTTTCCAAACTTTTTGCCCATACAAACCCCCCCCATTTTTGCCCTCTTCCCTTGAAGTTGAAAAGTTGGTTCTGGATCCATCAGTACTCTTGAGTAGATACACTATATGATCAGATTTCCATAGACCTTGTCTGCCCAACAAATTTTGTCATTCTTGAGTATGCGATCATGGAAATTAATAATAACGGTTGTGAAATTCATAGTTCTGAAGTTAAATGTAGCCAGTGGGTTTTCAGAAAATTTATTCTACTTATTTTTCAGCAATACTTGGACAACCAGCAGTGTGAAATGGTGATACTTGCCCCAAGTGAAAACAGTGAGTAGCTAACCTGTAACTATTTGCAGTTGTGCAAAACAATTAGCATGCATTAGCAATTTTCTGGTTCTTTAATTATATATCTTATGTTTATTTCATTATTCTAAATATTGCCTGTTAATTCTATTTAAGAATTTATTTAGAATTTATTCTAATTTATTTAATTTTATTTAGAAATCCTGTTTTGTTCAACTGCTGTTCAGTTTCTGTTTTATTTTTCTCTTTGATTAACTTAATCAGTGTTAAATTGTTTTAAATTTATTTCTATAGATTTGTTTCTAAGTTTATAAGGGCCCTTAGTGATAGCAGTTTTTAACTGACAAGGCAACCCTGTTGAAATAAAACAGAATTAATGCACTACCTCCTTATTTTTAGTTATACTTGCTGTTTGGGCTAAACCCCACTAAATGGAAAACATATCCAGAGAGTTAATTGGCTTTAATGATACAAAGCAGCAATTTTTCATTCGGTCTACTTGGGTCAAGAAGACATTCTTTTTAACCTACCACTCATGATATGAGAACTTACTGCAGTATAATTGAAGTAGGGAAAGCCAGGTTGAGGTGTCGGTGAAGTTCCTGATTGCATATTGCTTTCAGTGTCCCTTTGGCGTGTATTTTTCCCTTAGAATGTCCACTTCTGAGGTTGCCATCTCCGACCAGCTTCCTGACCTGCACAGTGGATGACCGATGCCTTGGCCTGACATGCTGTGCCTCCCTGGACCTGATCTTCACTCAGTTGTCCACTACCACTTGGGCTGCCCTAGACCCCTGCGAATTGAAACTGTCTGTTGGGCTGGGGTCGTGGTCAAAGAATGTCACGCTCTTTGAATACGACTGGGGAGTGGATAAGGTGCTTGACGTCAGTGATTCTGTGCACATAATGTAAGTGACATTTTGGGTAAAACGTGAGCTGTGTCTGACACTCGTGGCTGCTGCTTAAAGTACCCCTTTGGCTATCCATATACACCCTCTCCCTGGAAACATTTATTCTGACGTAGCCTTAACCTTGTTTTTAAAACTGTCAAGAACAAGCATTGTGAAGATGGTTTAGAGTGAATTACAGGGCCTAACCTACTTCGTTTTTGATCTACTTAGGTATAATGTTGACAAGCTGACGGCACTGAAGGAATTTCAGATTGACCTCTCGGTAACCCTGTGCATAGACGGCAGCTGCAGACCCATCCATCTGCTCCAGGCAGCTCATGTGCCCATTTCGATCTGCAACTCCAATGCCACCCTCACCTTGCCTGGGAATGGCACCATCTCTGGCTACCTGGAGAGCTTAGGGGGTCAAGTCACTGAAGCAGCCGTAGATAGGGTACTAGACCATTTGGGATTGAAGGTGAGACTGTTGAATTTGTTGCTCCATTGTTGAAAATTCTGAAATTGAAAAGCTAATACTTACCCATACATGTGAGTCCGTGTATCTGTGTTGATTGTTTCCTTAATTCTTATACTCACAGAATTTCCTGTCCAGAGACATGTGTAATCTGCCCCCAGTGCTCGGAGCAGGCAGTGACAGTAAGTACAACAGATTTCCTGCAGAAGAAAAACTGCAGAGTCAAGAGCTTAACAGATTCTTTCTTTTTTGATAACGAAACTCGTCTCTCATTTTGTTATGTTGGAAAAAGGAAATAACAGGCTACCCAAAAGTGTTCACTCTTAAAGGTGTTAAAAGTGGCAACCATGGCTAACACCCAACTGAACCTCGGTATCAGACTTATTAGGGTCCATTTTACATGAAATTATGCTGACTAGTACAGGAATACTGAAAGTATTATCCATGCAGTAGAACACAGTGTGGCATTCTATCTACTGGATTATTAACACTAAGAATGGTTGAACTGCTCTGCAGAAAGAAAAACTGATATAATAGGAAACCTGATCGATTTTTTAAATATACCATACTGAGGCTGCATGCTCTGGCCAATCCAGTGATTAGGTATAATGTCATCAGGGACCTGGCTGGGAGACTATTATTGAAGCCAGAATGGAAGTTCCTTGGACTCCTTCAATTGAGCAACATTATCATCTTAGAAAGTCATTAGCATTTCATTTGCACACTGAATGGGTTTCTACTTGTGTGTAAATATACAATATCACGTGGCATGCTGTTTTTTGTTCTGCTCATATTTTTAAGAGGGGCCTTTCAGGATGTTTTGTATGGCAAATGAAGTTGGTACATGATTTATTTGGTGATAAATTGATAAATTCACCACATGTAAATGAATGCATATTGCAGTGCTTCACCAGATGAGATGTACGTTATCTTTTTTTGACAGGTATTCCACATTTCATCTAACCTAAACTTATCTATTAAACATACATTTCTGTTTGATTAGTCCTGCTAATGCTTCTGATTTCTGATTCAGGTTGTTCAGTGCAGTTTCCTGACAACCTTCCCAGCTTGTCCTGTCATATTGGCAGCCGTTGTACAAGTTTTCACTGCTGTCTAACGCTGGATCTCAAGCTGACCCAGATCAGCACCAAGGCCTGGTTTATCATTGACCCATGTGACTACAAGGTGTCTGTTGGGCTAGGAAGGTGGTTCTTCAATGCATCCCTGTTTTCCTACAAGTGGGGAGTGATGGAAAGTTTTATGGTTGGGCATGCTCTCAGTGTTATGTAAGTACATAAATATTGAATGAAAGTCTGCTCTGAAGTGGACTTGAAACTAGAATGTTAGTATTTAAATCGATAATCGATCAAGTTTTCCGGATTTCTGGAATTTCTGTGAGACTATCTGGAATTTCTGTGAGACTTTCCGGATTTCCGTATTGTCAGTGCTTTCAACATGAAACACAAAGACTACAATATTTGGTGCAAAACTAAGTGAAAGACTTGCACAAGTTTAGGTGTATAGCATGTGCTTTTGCATTGTTACTCCCTCTGGGAAGGCACCAGTTACATAGTAGTACATTGAACGAAGGAGGTATCATTTTTAAAACATAAGGACCCAGGCCAGTGGTATGATCGTTGTGCATATGTACATGTACATTTACTGTACCTACTGTACGTTTGCTGTGTGTGTATACACGGTACACATGTTGTCGTTGCACGCATTGTGTACAACTTGCGTCCGTCTGCTATTGTGTTTTGCTTCGTTCTTGTGGTGGTCTGATGTCGTTGATGTCCATCAAAAATGTCCTATAAGGTATTAGGTTGGGAAGGGGATCTGAATGTAGACAAAGGATTAAAGAATTCTTGGAAATTTTCCTGGCTGGAAACCGAGGTGGACAGAGAATTAACCAAGGGGAAATTGATGTATTATCGTGACTTTCTCGTGAAAATCGACAAACCTGGGTACTGCAAGTGCATGTAGTGTCACAAGTAATGCAATACTCGTCTGTATGAGACAGTTTTCACTTTTCATAAATTGTGATAGAATTTTGTGGATCACTGATAACTGTGTGTATTACACTTCTAGGTCTTTGATTGTCACCAATTATAGCTTACATGTATAGGCATAATTGCAATTGAAGTGAATGAGGACAAGGGTTTTGTTGCAGTAAATGTTATAATTGTATCCCTCAAAGTAAGAACAACTCTCGTGGCCTACATGTAGTACCTGAATCTCCTATGATCAAATAGATATGCCATGAATTGTAGGGAAGCTGTGGCCGACGCGACTTGCAAAACCCTCCGACGAATGTTTCGTGGATTTTTCATTTTCCCCAAATCACACCCCTCGATTTCGTGCATTGTGATTGGCCAATGCATTGCAAACTCTTGGAAGTGCACTATTGTGAAATGCCCGTATTGCAGGGAGGTCTGAAAATCCAGCTCAAAAGAAATTGAGAAAGGTGATTTTTAATACCGCAGTACCTGAACAGGTTAGAGTTGTTGCTGATGCAACAAACCAATATCCTCTGCTGATATTACATGGTATAACTGTAAACATGGAATGCAAAGGAAGCAAACTATGTAGACCATAGAAAGATGCCAATTGACCAATGTAAACAGACCTAATCATTTTCACTTGTTTCGTCCAGGTTTTCTATCGACAAGTTGGATGCCACAAAGGAATATGAAGTGGATCTTGCCTTCTCCCTCCTCATTGACGGCGTCACCACAGACCTTCCCATCATGACTGACCAGAGAATCCCAATGCCCATCTGCAATGCCAACTCCTCCCTGGCCTTGCCTGGTGATGGCTCAGTGAGAGGTTTCTTAGAGGAGCTGGGTTACAATGTCGGACAGGCAGCCATCCAGCTGGTCCTCCGACGACTCAACCTACAGGTTGTGAATGTTTTGCTTACACCTTCTTCAGTTCCCCCATAAATGAAAATGACACACACCCTTGCATACATTTTTTGCCTGCTTCTGGCAAGTGTGCTGTGCAGTTTCCATATGTTCAAAGGTTTTTAGGCCCTCTTAATCCCAACAAAAGGGTTGGTTAATGAGACAGTTTACTTCTTTAGATTGTGTAGCCTTGATAAAACCTTTAATTGGGTTTTATGGAACAAATTTTGATACAGCTTCCCAATTCATGTGCCACTGATTTCACAAAAAGTTACTGCACAGTGTTTGACAGACAATTAGGTTTTGGATGAGGACAGTCACAATTATTATGAAGACTGTTCATGATTTTTATGACCATCAATAATCGACTGTTTTATTATAGCATTAATGTCTCATTTGTTCCTCTTAAATTTCTGTTGCATCTAAACACAACAGCATGTGTTCATTATTTGTTTGTTTGTTTATCTTTTCTAATTTTTGTCTTTTAACTTTGCCTGAGTGTTTGTTTCGGAAATTTTTTTTCAAATAGTAATCGGTTGTATACTTGTATTCCTTCAGGATGTTACTACTGGAAAAGAGTGCAAGATGCCATCAGGGATAGCAACCGTCTCCCGTAAGTATGCTATCTATTTTTAAGTAACGGAGATTAATTTGTTTAATAAGAATGTGGATCCACCCAAGTTGTGTGCTGGTACACGTTGTTATTTGTAGGCAGTTTGTGAAATGGAGACAGGGCACTAGATGAAGCCATATGTTGTAAAATACATGTACATGTACATACAGGACTGGTTTTATTCCATGTACTGTTACCTTTTCTTATATTGCACATTTCCAGTTGTAAATATTCGGAAGGCCAAGTTTTCGGAAGTGGTTAAATGATGATTTTAATCCAAGGTTTTTATAATATTGGACTGACATTGTTTGTACTTGAGCACAGATTAGCTGTATAAAGACTTGACACTTGGACTGTGTTCTGTAGCATTAGGAGTAGAATGGTAATTTATGTGATTTTTGATTCTCTTTTTGACCAGACTGTCCTGTCATCTCACTTCCCTTCCTGGAGGATGTTGTCAAGTGCTCCATCGATGACCGTTGCCTTGGCATCCAATGCTGCATCACCCTAGATTTTGTCATCACTGAGCTCATGCTGAGCATAAGGATTGAAGTGGATCCATGCAATTACCAGCTTTATATGGCCTTTGAGAACTGGGAACTGAATGTCACCTTGTTCAGCTACACCTGGGGGACTGTGGAAAAAATCAACATTGAAAATGCATTAATGTTGAGGTGTGTTCGGTTCTGTGTTTTTTGTGGCAATTAAAGTATACAACTTTGAAGAAATCTGTATTTTGAGGGTTTTTCAAATTTGTTCCAGTTCCAATTATTACAAACTATAAACCAAACTTCGTAATTCATATCACTCTTTTAGTGTCCCAAAACAGGCCCAACCCAAACTTTACAGACTGACAAAATGTGAAGATTCCTCATAATTTTGACTGAATTACTAATCCATGAATTTCTTTTAAGAACATCTGTAGTGGGATTTTAATGCTAATTTCTGAGATTTTATCCCAATTTTGCTACAACCAATGACTTTCCTGTTGTTTTGTGTACATCAGCCTAAGTTTGTGCAGGAATTAAGTCTATAAATATTCATGTTTTCACAGAATGACAGCAACTGCCTTACAAATATACCACTGTAATTGTTGGATCTATGAAACTAGGATCAGTCTCATTTCAATGCAGGATGGAGACATCTTTGAGCTCAGAAACATAAACTTTATTTTCTCTCAAGTTTTGTGATTCTCATCAGTTGTTCAAAAAATCATAGGTACATATTGTAACAGCCTCTGATTCGGAACTTACAGCTATTCCATTGACAAGCTGACAGCAGAGAAAGTCTTGTCTGTGACCCTCAACATCATGCTGTGCATTGATGCCGCATGCACCACAACCCCAGTACTGGACCATGTCTGGGTTCCCATACCAGTGTGCAACACCAATGCCACCTCATTCGCCCTGCCTGGTGATGGGACAGTGGGCGGATTCATACGACAGCTGGGTGGCCGTATTGGAAACTCTGCTATTGACCTGGTGCTGGAGAAACTTGACCTGAGTGTGAGTGAATGGCTTACTTCAGCAGACTTTCTGTCGCTTGGGTTTGCCACGGCACATTCAACTGGGAATGTGACTCTGACTTTCATTAGTTACTTTCCTTTAGATATCTTTTTTCACTTATGACCTTGAGACCTTATGTGAGAGTTGAGTGTGAGTAATCAATTTGCTTCAGCAGGCATTCTGTTGGTTGGGTTTCACTCTTTATTGTTTGCAGTCAAGGCTTGGTTGACACACATTTTCCTTTAACACGATCAAAAACTAACTTTATTAGTTTTTGGTTAAAGTAGTCTGTGTTTTACTTATGACCCTGTTACAGCAACATTTGCTGAGTACACCATGTGATGGAGGAATACCAGGCACTTTGAGAAGTGGTAAGTTAGAATTACTACACGTTCTGTGGAAGTTTACTACCTTAAAGGTGGCAAATAATCATTGGTCTTTTTAACTTATACCTAGATAACATGCTATTGTTGGCATTCCCTTCTCATTAGAATGTTACGCTGCTGTTCATCTTCATTATATTGAAGTGCTATCATCTGTCCAATATCTGTAACTTGTTTACTTTTACCATTATAGCTCCTTAACTTGTTCACTTTCACCATTATAGTACCCTAACTTGTTTACTGTCACCATTATAGTACCCTAACTTGTTTACTGTCACCATTACAGTTTCATAACTTGTTTACTGTCACCATTATAGTTCTGTAACTTGTTTACTGTCGCCATTATAGTACCCTAACTTGTTTACTGTCACCATTACAGTTTCGTAACTTGTTTACTGTCACCATTATAGTTCCCTAACTTGTTTACTGTCACCATTATAGTTCTGTAACTTGTTCACTGTCACCATTATAGTTCCCTAACTTGTTTACTGTCACCATTATAGTTCTGTAACTTGTTTACTGTCACCATTATAGTACCCTAACTTGTTTACTGTCACCATTATAGTTCTGTAACTTGTTCACTGTCACCATTATAGTTCCCTAACTTGTTTACTGTCACCATTATAGTTCATACACACATGGTCAATCATTAATCCCTCATTAATATTTCTCCTTTACCTGTGTACTACAGGGTTGCTTATTTTTGTTTGTTAGTTTTTTTATTGTCCACATTATTTTATTTGTTTTTATTTTATTACACTTTTCCACTGGCTATTGTAAAACAAGACAAAAAAATTAATACATTAAAAACACGTACATAAAACATTTGACATGACACAACAATCAGATGATGGGTATAGAAAACAACATGCTAAAAAGCCAGTGAATGGCAAGATGGAACAGGTGAGCAACACCTCTACAGAGCCATCCTACCACATGACGACCCCCCCTCCGCCAAGAAAATAAAACAAGTGGGAATTTATTAATATCTACAGCAAAGTGGGAACAAAGTGGGAATTTATTAATATCTACAACCAGCACAGTGACAGGATCTCTGATTATCTCTGTCTCTGTGGTGGATTGCCATCAACTACTCTCTTTCTCAGGTTGCCCAGCTGTGGATATCACCCAGCTTCCTGACTCTCTCACTTGCACTGTCACCGATTCCTGCCTGGGCATCCGATGCTGTCTAGAGATGGACTTGAAGATAACTACTCGCAGCATCAGTGCCTGGGTCATGCTGGATCCGTGCAACTTCACCGTATCGGTGGGTTTTGAGAAGTGGGAACGAAGCGTCACCTTGTTCCATTACCCTATGGGAGATGTCATGGAGGAGGTTGTGAATGATGTCCTGAGAATAAGGTATACATGTGATGACCAGTGTCCTCATAATTTTTTTTTCAGTTCCTGTGTGTCCTTCGTATGTTTAAGTTTAATAAGATCCTTAAGTTCAGACAAAATGACTACTAGTGGCCCCTAGATGTGGCACATCATCTGACAATTACTGTTTGGTGTTTACCAAAAATGACATAATATCCATCTCTGAAACCAGTAGAATTTTTTTCTTTTTTGGGGGGGCCGTGTCAAAAGTTCTTTGTTATTGACAAAGGCTGTTGCATCATAAAGCATGACGCAGAAAAGTACAGTTTGAATACTGTTTGAATCTTGCTTTGAATGATCCAAGTCAAATTTCAAGTCAACTGCAGCTGATATGAAACTTGAACAAATCTTTTAAAACCTTTTAACCTTGTTTATTAAATGCTGTGTTTTGTTTGATTTAGTCTTTTTTTTCTGAGTGCATACTTTCCGATTGACTTAGTGTGTACTATGCATGTCATGTAGGTGGCGAGTGGCCAAGATCACTGAAGAAAAGCAGTTTGAGGTAGACTTGTCGCTTGTCCTTTGTATAGATGGAGCCTGTGACACGCTCACAGTACTTTCAGCAAGTCATCTGCCGATACCACTGTGTAACACTCCAGATCCATTCACTTTGCCTGGTATGTTTATTTTGGATGTGTCCCTTTAATTGAATGGTTTATTGTGGGCATATTTGCTCTATTTTGTTTTTATTATGAAGTAATTAATTATTTATTTTGAATGTCTTGTTTTTAATTTGTTATTGGCTCAAATACGTTATTTCATATAAAATGTTCATTCCCAGGAGGTCCAACCATCAGACTTTCTTCTGCTCCTTTATGTTGATGGTGTCATTATGGAACTGAATCTCACTGATCTCTCTGTTTTTTGGCTGATAGTTCCTATTTGGAACCAATTATTTCCTTTAACCCTCAGGTCTAACACTTTATTGTCATCATTTACTATTGCAGTTCTAGTTGTTTTATTTTGTGTCTGGTGTTGATGTGTACGACCATGTGCTTGAATGTCACTTTATTGTCACTGCAACATTGTGGACTGTAATTTGTAAATGTTTAATTGTAATTGAGAGCTCTTTTTCTCTGTTATTTTTCCCTTTAAATAGGAGGGCTTATAGGGTTTACCAGTAGTATATAACCTGTGGTAGGATGGCTTTCCACATGTGCAAATCACCTGTAACTGTTTCCTGCTCAATGGCTTTAACATCTGCTATGTTTTCACTTCTGCATTTTTTTCAAATAGTATCCCAACATGTACGATATTACTGGACTCTTTATTTGCATTTTGTCAAAGTAAAGCCTAAGCCAAATTAAATAAAATCAGAAGTCAAAGCCAGTACATTTAAAGTGGAAGAATTTACTCTCGTATTTTCTCTCCAAATGTTCTAATTCCCAGGTGACGGCACTGTAGCAGGCTTCATGACTTACCTTGGAGGTAACATCGGTCAGTTTGCCATAGATGCAGCTTTACATCATCTAAATCTGGCCAGCTTCCTGACAGGAAAGGCTTGCTCCTACCATAGGCAAGGTATGTTGGTGCTAAATACATGTATTGTGTGGAGTCCTACATGCAGCTACTTGTCATCTGGTGGTGCTCAAACCTGAGGGATGTTACCTCTGGGTGTCATTACATGATGCAGTCCGTTGAATAGCCACTTGCACAGCAGGCATCTACAAATGTGATGAATTGGTGAATGATTATACAAAACAAATGATTCTTGACTTCCAGAGTATAAAAGTTCCCTTATTTCTCAATGGGCAACTTCTTGACTCTCTGGAAACTTTCTTGCATTTTTTGCAAGGAAATATTTCCCTGGGTTAATTATCATTAAGACTGTCGATTCAGTGTAAAAGTGCACCCTGTCTTGTTCCAGCTGAGAATGAATAGGTCCTAAAGCAAACTGGTGCCTTGGACTACGGCTTACTGCTGCCCATAGGGCCTATGGACACTTATACCTACGGCCTAGGAAACACTTTATGGTGTACACCCTCACTCCCGAGGGAGGGCATACCTTAGGCCATATGCGCTCAACGCCCTTCCCTCATGTCAACCTCCTACATATTTTCTTGTGTCGGAATATTTTTGGTCAACCTATCCTTCATTACAAATGTTTGTCTTTCTCTGAAGATGTCTGTGCAAGGTCTTCCAGTGTCCCAAGCAACTGCTCCCTGATTGGTGAAACCTGTACAGAACTACGATGCTGCCTGGACCTTGATCTGAAGATAGCTGACATCTCAGCCACGGCCTGGTTCAAGTTTGACCCCTGCGACTTCACCTTCACATTGGGCCTGGAGAAGTGGTCCTTCCAGGGCTCTGTCTTCAGCTATCATTGGGGTAAGAGCCTGCTATGTTTATAGAAGCATAAACATAGCGAATAGTTGTGAACTTTACCAAGGGGATAGATGCAATCTCTCTCAGATGGAGTAATGTGTGGTTAAAACTGACTTAATGCATAATGCATTCTGTTTCCTCTTAAATTGACCCATGCAAGTCTGATTAAACCCATTAGTTGCATTGGGATAAGTTTTGTATTTCTTTTGTAAAACAGACAATAAATCACAACACAGAAATCTTTTTACAACAGATGCTGTGGAACACACTCTGTGAAGGGTGTGTTACAAATATCAAGTTTGTCTCTGTGATTTTGCGCCCCATGCGTACACAGTGTTTCAAAATTCATGTCAAATACAAAGAGAGCAATAGCTGATAGTTCTAACTGTGTGCTACTACCCTTGTTGGAAATGTGTCATGTTATTTCTATTTGTAGGAAAAGAGATGACAGTTCCCATTGCTCCAGGAATGAATTTTAGGTCAGTATATGCTGAAGAATATTGAACAGTAAACGGAAGCTGTGTAAACCTGTTTTAAACTGCTGTGATATGCTTTTTTCCTGGTTACAAAGTATTTAAAAAGATTGTTAACAAAGGACTGAAAGTGCTTGTAACATTGCTTTGGTTAAATTATAAACAGTCTGATTGGTTTGGTGACATTTAACTGGGAAGAGACA